AACATAAATAGAACATTCATAAAAAATTCAATCAAGGGAACTAAATAGTCAATCCATAAAATTCAATGGCTACACCAATCCCTAAGATAAGAGGTTATCTACTCATATTCAATGTTAAACAATAAAATCACAATGAGAACTTCATAACAAAACTAGAAAAATCAAGGGAAAGGAGAAGAAATTAAGTTCGACGTGTCAATCGTCCGTCCCCAAAGCAACCTCCACGATCCCGAGCCTTGAGAAAGTCTCTTTTCTAAGCTCTCCTATCGTCTCCTTGCCCTCCAAATTGGCCAAAAAGCCAAAGTGCCAAAAAAAACTCTCCAAAATTCCTTCATCTCGGCGGCTACAAAACCCTATTTTATAAAAAATACGACGCTATATACATAGGGTCATGGCACTACACTATTCAAAAAACGTGAAATTTAAACTTCGTAGCCCCATTGTGTTATCTCCTCGAGTTTTTGGCTTCAAATCTTGTTCTTATTCCATCTTCGTCACTTTGATTCCGATTTTTCTCTCATTTTGATCCAAATATGTCTCCTTTCCTCTGGATACTTTGTTCTTGCAAAATATATCTTATGTGTTTAAATTTGTCATGAAGAAACGAAAACTAACAAATAATTTTAATATAAATCTCATGAAATGTAGCTCACAAAGTGTGCCATATCAAAAACCACTCAAGTATGTTTTCTTTGGATGCTGTACAAAATAAAACCTTAACAAAATGTCTATATTTATAAGAAGTCAAATATCATAATTTTTATAAAGAACGTAATAGCCTACTCTTTGTAGGTATTCGTAGTAGTATTGAAGATCTTTCACTTCATAGAGCACAGGTCTCTTGTTTTGGCTCTATTATCCCAACATTACATTCCCTCTTTCCTTTCATTTGTATAAGTTAAAAAATGAGTGGATTATTTCTAACTCCTTCTTTATATAATCATAGATAACTATGTGTTATCGAGTAAAAACGAAATACCACGTGTCAAAAAGTCAATTAGCCACATGGCCTAAGTCAGAAAGCTAACCCGGCATGGTCGAGCACATTGGAAAAGATTCGAGTGGACGCAAATCTAGTCGAGCACTCTTGAACGCCCCCATACAAAGGACAACCAGTGAGCATAAAATTATAATTGATTTACCTCGATGTACCGCATACAAGATAAATCAATTATGAGACATAATTTTTTTTATGCAAAATTGTTAGTATATTTTTTTGAATGTTAAAGGTCAATGTATCAGTCGAGCCTTTATTAAATAACCTCTAATTAAATTGACCAACAATTCTGAAGAACGACTTCAAATTCTAAATGATAAAAATGTAAAAAAGGCCATCACTGAACAGTTCTATCTAGCTCGAGGAAACATTTTTTATGATGTTATTTAAAATATATAATTTTGGGTAAAAACGGCACTTTAACCCAAAATTCCAAATAAAAATTTTATGTTAGAAGTAAAACGTACAATAAAGTATATCAATAGTATATCAGCATACATATATACCAAAAATTAAATAAGGTATATCAATGGTACGACACAATTGTATATCAACACATATATATGTCAACAATTAATAAACAAAAAAATATTTGTCATATTAGTAAATATTTGAGTTTTACACCAAATATGTGGAATAGGTTGATCGTACCCTTCAAGATATTCAGCTATATCAATGATATATCAAATCAGATATATAATTAGTATATCAATATTCATATAAGTTGTACGATTATACCTGATTTATCTTGATGTACTACATACTAGATATATCGATTATAACTGATTTTTACATCAACTATAACGGTTGGGTCAAATGACATTTTAGAGTAAATTGGACTTTTTCTTTAGTATGTATGGTCTGGACCTCTGAATACTTGTTGGGTGAAGTAATTGTGTGGCTATCCTACACTTATGGTAGTCAGGAAATAGTTTACTTTAATATTTGTTGGGTGAAGTAATTGTCTGGTTATCCTGCAGTTGTTTGAGATAATCATTTCATGTTTATGTTGTTCGCATGATTTATGCTAATTATTTGAAATGTAACTAATCATAGTTTGAGGCAGTTATGTTGCTAATTGATCACTCATCGTTTAAGGTTCATTTGTTGAGATTTGTGTTGGAAAAGGTGTGATTTGTGTTTTATCATTTAATTTGTCTCATTTTCATTCATAAAAATATTGGATATTGGGGGAGAGAACGGAGTGAAGGCCGGAGAAGAAAATGAAGAGAGAGACATGGAAGGAAGAAAAATCATGTAGTTAAGGGTTGAAGTTAGTGATTGTTAATAGATTGCGTGATGAAAGTTTGTGGCTATTTTTTTAATTGATAGTTGTGATAGCAGATATGTGTAGCTGGTGAATACATATGACATGAGTGAACTATGGGGGTCAGGTTTTGATGTAGGAAACTTGAAATAATCTCAGACAGATAATATTCGGACTTTACTGTGAGATGGTGAGTTGAGGATGGATATCGATTTTGATCAGTAATGGATTCGTTCTTTACTTTGATTTGCTTCTTTATTGAATTTGCAATGTGATTGGGTTTTCTTTGATTGAATTTATGCTTCATTTGTCTTGTAAATCATAATGGTAGTACCGAAGAGATTGAGTTTAGTTTTAAAGAATTTCACAAATTGATCAAGATATTGGAGTTGTTGAGAAATGTTTTGACTTCCCAATTGTTTGTTTCCTATTATGAAAAGAGAAATTATTTGTGTTTGATATCTCTTTAAGATTCTTTGTATGGTATAAGGACCTGTGTGATAGCATAAAATAGCATAAAATTATACTTTTCATTCTTTACCTAGTTCAAATTTCTAAACATTCCTAATGAGTTTGTTTTGTTTTTTCAGGGACTTAATTTTGGGAATTACTATTCTACAAGGCTTCATGTGTTAGAAGATTAGATAGGTGCAACTTTTTGTAGAAATGGAGTCTCTGCCGATAGGTGCAGCTTTTTATGGTGTAATATTTTATATTATTACATCCTCAACTTTTGTAATGTACAGATTATTTTATATAATATAAAATCATTTTATTTGATATATCAACTTTGTGAATTGAAATATCATAAATTAAGTTGCTAAACAGGGATGCAATTCAAATTAGCATGAAAAACAAAAAGATTCCCGACGTTTTTTCAAAAAAGAGAGAGTGAGGAAAAAGATTACTTTGCAGACTTTTTGTATACAGTCGGGAAAAGTTCACTTTTCCGGACTTTTTGTGTTTCATCGGGAAAAGTAAACTTTTCCCCACTTTTTGTATTCCGTCGGAAAAAGTCACAACTTTTCCCGACTTTTTTATTCCGTCAAGAAAAGTCACTTTTTCCGACTTTTTATATTCCGACGGGAAAAGTCAACTTTTTCCGAATTTTGTATTCCGTCGGAAAAAGTAAACTTTTCCCGATTTTTTGTCATAAGCGTCGGGAGTGTCCTCTCCTGACGCACTTCTCCCGAATTTTTTGCCGACGCAAAAATTTTGTAGGAAAATATTTTTTCCGACGTTTTGAAGCACGGGAAAAATCTTATTTATTATAATGTATCCAAACATTACATTCTCTCTTTCGTTTCATTTGTATAAGTTAAAGAATGAAGTGATTATTTCTAACTCATTTCTTATATAATCATACAGAACTATGTGTTATCAGGTAAAAATGAAATACAACGTGTCAAAAAGTCAATTAGCCAACGTGTCAAAAAGTCAATCAGCCACATGGCCTGTGTCAAAAAGCTAACCCGACATGGTTGAGGATATTGGAAAATATTTGAGCGGAAGCAAATCGAGTCGAACGATCGCGCCCCATACAAAGGACCAGTAAGCATAAAATTATAATTGATTTACCTTGATGTAGTACAAACAAGATAAATCAATTATAAGACAATTTTTTTATGCAAAATTGTTGGTATATTTTTTTTAATGTTAAAAGTGAATGTATCAGTTGAGCCTTTGTTAACTAACCTCTAATTAAATTGATCAACAATTCTGTCGAACTGTTCCAAATTCTAAATGATGTTAAAGTAAAACGTAAAATAAAGTATATCACTGGTATAGTAGCATTGAGATAAGGTATATCGATGATATATAAAATTAGATCTATCGATAGTAATATCAGCACATATATATACTAGTAATTAAATAAGGTATATCAATGGTACGGTACAATGGTATCTCAACACATATATATATCAAGAATTAATAAGTAAAAAAATATTTGTCATACTAGTAAATATTTGAGTTTTACACCAAATATGTAAAATAGGTTGATTGTACCTTCAAGATTATCAGCTATATGAATGGTATATCAAATCAGATATATAATTGGTATATCAATATTCATATAAGTTGTAGGATTATTCCTAATTTATCTTGATGTACTACGTACTAGATATATCGATTATAACTGATCGACTATAACGTGCCATGGGCTGGACCTTTGAATTTTTCTACTTTTTGCAAGATTGAAATGTAACTAGCTATTAATTTCTTTCTATTTTTACAAGTGCCATAATGATTCCATAATTAAACATTTTTTTTATGAAAAATTATATATACAAAGACACTATTTACTTTTATGTATATAAACACTAAAATTGATAAATTAAAGCCTAATTAAGAAATAGTTCATCTTTTTTATTAACTCGATTAAATTCTTCAAATTTTGATAATTTCAAATTTTGTTTTTCCTAAGTTTTTTTCCACTACTTTGATATTTTCATCAATATTTCTACAAAATCTAGCACTCTAACCTTTTTGTTTGCATCAACACCAACATTTTGATCTATATGTTGTTATCTAAAAATTACTTCAGAGCCATTTTTATGTTTCTAAAATTTATAAAAACTCTTTCAACTATGATATCAAACCTCCAAAAAACTTGAATGGGTGAGATTCAACTTTGTGAATAATTCATAATAGCATCCGTCATCGATAACTATGAAATACAGATCGATATTAGTTTATGTCTCTATTTAAGAAACTAAAATTTTGCACAACTGCTAATTTTTTTCAACATTCCTAGTCATTTCTGTTCCTAGGCCCAAAATTCCTCCTCCTTGATCTTTGGATTTTTGGAGATCTTTTGCCTTCCACCATTGCCACAATCCACAGCGGTTTCCCAATTCGAAAAACCATATACCCAACAAATATTCCAAATACCATTCCACATCCATACCCCATGAACACAACTCTCCACCAAAACCCTTTTTCTAAAATTTCATCTTCCTCATCATCACGCAGTAGTTGAGATTCAGAGTGTTTTTTTGCATCACAGTTTGGCAGAGGAAATCCACACAGTCCAAGGTTTCCGATGTATGAAGAATTCTCGAAAGTAGCAAATTGTTTCCCTTGAGGAATTGGTCCAGACAGCTGATTGTGCGAGAGATTCAAGACGGAGAGAAATGTAAGAGCTACCAACTGGAGAGGAATGTTACAGGAGAGTTTATTTGAAGAAAGATCCAACCATTCAAGACTCGTCAGATTCCCAAACGACATAGGAATCCCACCTGTAAGCTTATTGTGTGAAAGGTTGAAACCTTTTAGAGATATGAGCATCCCAATCGACTTTGGTATCTCTCCACTAAAATCATTACTCGACAAATCAATAGCTTTGAATATCGATAGAATTCTTTCCAACTTGTGATCCAACCCTTTCATTGATACCACCACAGAGACATGATAGTAAGAGGAAGAATATATGCTAATGTAGTTGGGTTTTTGGTTTCCCATTTCAATCTCCTTCATTGCTCTCAAGTTTTCAAATAAGTTTGATGGCAATGATCCTATGAAATGATTTCGAGAGAGATCAATGATTTGTATACTTGGAAAGGAGTATTGGTTCATGGAGTTGTTGATAGGACCATAAAATCGATTGGATCGAAGGATAAGAACTTGCAAATTCGAAGCAGCTTCCAACCAGTAGGGAAAATTACCTGTTAAGAATATAAATAAAAGATCAGAGAAAGAAATCTTGAAGTACTCCAACTGGATATGATATAATTATCTTCGAAAATAAAAAGTACATAACCTGTTATCTTGTTGTTCCCCAGATCCAAAAGGTGTAGATTCTCACAGTTCAATAACGACCGAGGTAATTCTCCCTCTATTTGGTTGTCGTTCAAATTAAAGCTCTTCAATTGACTTCCTGTTGGGAAATTTGTTGGAAGAGTCCCAGAAAGGTTGTTGCTTTGTAGATCCAACACTTCAAGAGAAGTGTTGCCTCCTAGACACGATGGAATTGTACCACTCAAGCGATTCTTGGATAGAATAAGTGTTCCAAGGTACGTGACATGGCAGATTAAAGGAGGAATTTCACCGCTCAAACTATTATTGGACAAATCTAGTACTTTAAGGTTGGTGGTTTGCCAGAATATTGAATGATGGATATTTCCACTAAGTTGATTATTTGAAGCCGTAAACCAAGACAATAATGGTGGTAGGGTCAGACTGGGTAGCTTATTGAACAAGTTAAAATCAAGACTGACATGCCCAAGATTAGACAAAGTGAAGAGCACTTCTATTCCTGAGGACAAAAAATTATGTGAAAGATTCAACTGATACAAATCACCAAATTCAGAAAACCACCTGGGAATTTCTCCTCGAAGTTGATTATTTGAAAGGTCTAGATATTTCAAATTCTTCTGATATCTTAAAAAACATGGGAATTTTTCTACTTTGAGGGAGGCCATTTCAATCCAAATAATATTCCGAGAGCTAGCATTGGTACAGGGTATTGAAAGCTGGTTGTTATTGGATACAAAAAGGTATTCTAGACTTTGAATTCTCAACAAAATGTCTAAATTTAAAATCCCACTTAAATTATTCGATGACAAAATTAAAAATTCAAGATTCGCTTGTCTATAAATAGATTCAGAGATTCCACCTTGCAAGTTGGTTTCACCTAAATCAAGAACCTCTAAGGAGTTGGATTTGAAATCCCCCATGAAAGCATTGATGAAGTGGTTATTAGAGAGAGCCAAGTTTTTTAAGTGAGGTAGTGCATACAACCAAGAAGGTATGACACCAATGAGTAAGTTATTTCGAGAGAGACCAATAGTATCCAGCTGTGTAAGGTTTTTTATTGATTCTGGAATTCCACCGGTGAATTGGCACCAACTCAGATCTAAAACCTTCAATAGCTTGGCATTGCTAATGGAATTGGGAATCTCTCCTGAAAAAGATCTAAAATTTCAAGGGACTTACTCCAATTAGACATGGGCAAATGCCCCTTCAATCCATGATTATAATCAAGTTGTAACACACGCAAGTTGGGAAGGCTTAAAACGTGGCTTGGAAAATTTCCACTCAACCCACACGAGGAAAGACGAAGAGAAGTTAAAGAGAGAGAGAAGTTCATAAAAGAAGTGAGTGTGAGAATGCGAGAGAGATCTACACGAGCAAGTGCAAGATTCCTTAGATTGGTTAGGTTATGAACAAGCTGATTCATAACCAGATTTGAGAATTTGAGGTCATAATTCCCAGAAAGATCGAGAGAAACAAGGTTCGACAAGTGTGATATTTCTATTGGAACGTCCCCATGGAAGGAAGATGAGGAAAGATCCAAAACCCTCAAGTTTCTAAAGGTTCCAAATTGAGGTGAAAGTGGAGAGAAATCAAAAGAGTTAAAAGAAAGATTCAAAGTTCGGAGATGAGAGAGGGCAAACAAAGTGCTATTGGGATGGAGAGTTCCATAGAGCTGACTGCAGCTGATGTCAAGTCCAACCACATGGCCTTCGCCTTCCTCGTCACATTTCACGCCATCCCATGAACAACAATCTTCGGTCTCGTTCCATGTCGCGGTCTTTGGATATCCAGCAGCTTGTCCCCAAAAATCGCACGCACTTGATGCAGATTCATTCAAGGAAAAGACTTTCTTAAACTCTAACAAGGCCAAGCTTTCTTTGGGATCACGTGGATGATAGGAATTGACAAGGGAATAACAGAGAAAGAGAAGGAAGAAACTAGTGAGATGATACATTAGCAATGCCATTGATGATGGAGGATGAATATAGAAGTAATTTACAAAGTTTAGCTAGAGTCATTGAGTTTTTTATTTTCACTTTGTTTTTGTCATTTAGCACATGGGAAAGAAAAACAAAAAGGAAAGAATAAATAAATAAATATTTGGTTACTTTTATGTCTTGGAAAACATATTGGTGGAAGACAGCTTGCATGATGTAACTCTCCACAGTATTTGGAAAAGACTAATATGCTACCATGTTTTTAATTTGATTTAATTTAATAGTAAAATCAATAAATAAAATTATAAAAAAGTAATATCACTAATTGTTAAAAAAAAATCATAATAACAAACAAATGAAAATATAAAGATGGCTTTATGGAAACATTCTGAAAATTTATTTATTTATTTGAAAGCAAAATATGTTTTAAAACAAACACCCAGCTTCGAAATTGAATTGTAACACTTCAAACATAATATATAAAATATGGATTGACTAATGTATTTCATACTTCCTTAATATATCAATCGTCTTGAGTTTATTTTTTAGATTATTAAGACTTGAAAAGTAAATGATATGACACATAACTAAATGTAGGGAAAAAAAATAGAGTTTAAATAGTTGGTGGAAGAGGATAGAATGACTCCTTTTTATAATGGTAGATAACCAAAGAGTTATAAAACTTTTAAAATTCCAACTCATTTATAATTATATAATTAATCACACTTGTTGTACTTAAAAGATATAATTAATTACAATTAAAAATAAAATCTTAAATTTTTTTAATATAAAAAGTATAACTTCTCGTATTCAAACTTTTACATTGAAATAACCTCCATTCTTATATTGTATTTATTTAGTTACTAATTTTAATTATTAGAAATAAATTTATTTATTTATTAGTTTTCAAACAGCAAATTATTTTTCTATAACAACACATTTTAAAATTCATTTATGTTATTTGTCAAAATATATATATATATATATATATATATATATATATATATCATGCTGGCTTCGAGACCTCTAGATTTGAGAGAGTATTGTATTTGCACATTGTATTATCCCAAAATCATATTAGAACTCATTGTCGCGAAAGACTGGACGTAGTCCATAGTTGAGGTGAACCAGTATAAATCACTCGTGTTTATTGCACTTTCCTATATTTCTTTTATTGTGTGATTGCCTTACTTTTTACTAAAGAACTGTGGAAGGAGAAAATATTCTTGGTAAATAATTTTCCCAATAAGTGGTATCAGAGCTGTAAGATTGGAGTATCGTGGGATCTAATGGAAAGTCGCATCACTACTTCCAGGGGGTTTTGAGATTTGATGGGAATTTTTTTGGGTTTTGGAAGATGCAAGTGACATATCTTCTTACATACAAGAAGATACACAAAACCCTGAAAGAACAACTAGCTATTGGGATGGCATACAAGGAATGGGCATAGATAGATGAATAGGCCACCGTGATCATCATGTTGTGCTTGTTGATAAGTGTGGCGAGTCTCATGGCGAGTCAGAAAACAACGATGAGATTGATGAAGGTGCTAATGGACAGATATGGAAAACCCTCTACCAACAACTAGGTGTATCTCATTACGAGATATTTCAACATTCATATGGAGGAAGGCACGTCGGTGAACTCCCACATCAATGAGGTCACTTAACTGGTGAACCAGTTGGAGTCGATGGAGATCACTTTTTCAGATGAGGTGAAAGCTATAAAGTTGTTGTCTTCTTTACCTGAGAGTTGGGAAACGATGAAGACAGCGGTGTTGAATTTGTTGGGGGTAAGAGTCTGAAATTTTAAGATATATGTGATGCTGCAATTGTTGAGGAGATTCGCACGAAAGGAAGTGGTAAGAATTCCGCATCCACTTATGGTAGGGAAAACTCTATCGAGTCAGTGTTGGCAGTGTAGAATAAAGGCAAAGGAAAGATGGGATATGGGAAACAGTAGGGACATAGCAAGAGGAGTACGAGTAGTGAGATTGAATGTTTTTACTACCATGATAAGGGCCACTTTAAGAAACATTATAAGAAGCTTAAAGATGATCAGGAAAATGAAGCCCAAACAAACGTGGTGTCACATGACATGTTGTTAGCATGCGTTGGGAGTGACACGACATTTGTGGATTCGTCATCAGAATGTATAGTGGTGTGCAGCTTCGGTGCATGTATCTTCAGATAGGAATTGGTTCACATCCCTCACTATAGGCAGTCATGACAGGTGATGATAAGGAATGAGAAACTCTCAAAGGTTAGAGAAATTGGGGAGGTGCGTCTGAAGACTGACAGTGAGACCGAGTTAGTTTTGCATGGTGTCAGGTATGTACCCAGTTTCAAGATGAATTTGATATCAGTGGAGAAATTGGATGACGAAGGCTATAGAAGTGAGTTTGCAAAAAACAGGTAAAAACTCATGAGGGGATCCAAGGTAGTGGTTGTTGGCTACAAAGAAGCTTCAGTGTATGTGTTGAGGTTTGACGTTGTCAGAGGATCAAAGAGACAGGTTATGCACAGGGCTGTAGATAGTTAAGGGGGAGACTTGAAAGAACTAGCAACATTGACAGTGATGACAGATTTAGAAGAATCTGTCATCAGTTCAAGTAAAACAATTGGGAAGTAAAGGAAAGGGAAAGGGAATAGCTGAGTGAGGTGTTCAATATGCTGTCAGGATAATACCCCAGTTGTTAGACGGATTAGTGAACTGATGAAGTCGTGTAGGCGAATGAGTTCATTCACGAGAAAGACTATAGTTGGTGCTAAGGTCAAGGGTGAGGTCTCTAGTTTGACAACTGACTTGGGTGGAAGTGCCAAGTCATCAGAGGGAAAATCTTTTTTTAGGAGTCGTTGGGTTCGAGTGAAGAAGGAAGCATCGGAGACCACTTAGTTCGAATGGGAGCACGTGGCTATGTCTCTAACGTATGGGAGACAAGACCACGTAGGATTTCTGATAACTCTCCATAAGAGAGTATTTTGTGGCATAAATTGAGCAATTTTTGTGTGTAAACGTAAGGGTCATTGGTTAATTAGTTAGAAAAGAATAAGCATTTAGCTAAGTAAGCGCCTGAGCTGTTTAGAATGCTCAATATCATTAATTTTGATAAAGTGAGCTTATTTTGTAATTATTTATACCGGAATTGTAGAATTTGGGATGCCTAAGCTGAGTGTTGCAAAGACTGTTGATGACGATGCTGGATCTTGAATGAAAATAGCTTATGTGTTGGAGCCTAAGACTACCGGATGCCCTAGCATATGTCTGCACAGTAACTGATTTGCACCAGTTTTTACCGCGTCTGTACAGCTTTTATGTGCTACCCATAATTTTAAGGACCCAATAAAAATAAAAGAATAGTGTTCAGCCGCCACAGAGAGCCCTAGGACATAAAATCATTTTGGGCATCAATTTCAGAGAAGATTCCTAGCCCATTTTTCGATGAGGAAGTCAACGGAGGAGGGAGCTGACCCATGCTTCATCACTAAACTGGAGAAATCTCTGCTGCTACAGAAGCTTCCTTGCACGATGGGCTCCATTTCTTTTCTACCCACTCTTTTCTTTCCTTTCGTTTTGAACTAAACCCCACCTTCGGTGGAGATGAGCTTGTTGTAGCTCTTTGTTGACTATACTTTAGTAATCTTGAATACTGTTTTAATAGAAGTGTGTCTATTCTTTCACCTCACTAATTTTGTTTGGCCAATTTTATTGGTGTGTTAGCTTGATTGAGGCTCGAGAGAGTCCTTGTTTAGTATGATTGTTTATATTAGCTTTAGATTCCTCTCTTTTAAGTAGGATAGTGAGTGCTCAAGGATGAGACTCATTGTATTGTGCCTATAAATTGCTTTTATTGCTTGCTTTTTTTTCCCTTAATCATTATGCAAAATTCAAAAAGATTTGTCATATTTAAAATATGTCAAAATATTTAGGATGCGTTTGGTTGGTGATCAGAAAATTGAAATATGAAAACAATGGATTAAATGAACAACATGATTGTATTCTTTGTTTTTTGTGTTCTTAGATATGTGTTTGGTAGTAGATTTGGTAATTGAATATCAATTTAAAAAATTATTTAACGTATATTTAGCAATTATACTCATAGTAGTTACCCACTAAATATTTAGTTTAAATCTAAAATAATATTAATTAATTTATTAACATTTTTGTAATTAATTTTGTATAATTATTATTTTAAAATGTTATACAATTTAAACAAAAATAAAATGAATTGATTACATGAATAATATATTTATCAAAGTTTTTATCTTTTTTAATGTAATTCTACATCTTAAACTTTCAAATTCAAAATCTGAAAACAATGGAAATTTAAGAGCTCGTTTGGTAACGTTGTCGTTTGTTATTTCTCGTTTCCAATTTTCTTAAGAAATCTGAGCATTTTACAACTAACTTTTTTCTTGTTTCTACTTTTTTGAGAACATTCTCACAATTATATAAAAAATTTGGAAACAACCATACAAGTTTCTAATTTCTTGTTCCTATTTCCAATTTATTTCAAAACATAAATAAAAAGATTGTTTGATCATACGAGAATTCTTGGATATTGAAACCATGCAATACATTTTTCTTTATTTTTAATAAAGAAACAGAAACAAGAAACATTATCAAACAGACCCTAAAAAAGTTGTTTTCATAATTTTTACTATTTAGATCACAAAATTTGAAAACAATTTTAAAAAATAAATCTGTCAAACCCTAAATCAATTGCGTTCAATGAATCTGAAAATAAGAAACAAAATTTGAATTACCAACCAAACGTGCACTTAGCCATCTATTATAAATACCATATATTAAATAAGGCAGAGAATGGAAAAAGAAGGAATTAGTCGTCTGTCTCATAAATTTTGATGTAGACTTTTGAAACTTCGTAGCAATCCATCAACTTTTTTTTGCCAAAACGAAATAAAGATGTTCAATTTCATTTTTGTTAGGTTTTGAAAAATCAACCAACTTTTTGAATTTAATTCCATCATACAGGAGTGGAGAGAGGACATTAATTTCCTTTGTCCAACAACAAAAATATATTTCTCACATTTGAACTCTCTGTTTAGTTGGTGATCCGAGAAAATAAATTTT